ACAACTTACTTACACATAGTAAGAAATGGTTATAAAAACTGAAACAGAAGTGAAACAAGTAATAGGAAAGAGGAGAAATAAAAAGCGATACTTATCCTTTGCTGGTGTCCTGCCCGGTGGAGTCGCACGGTAGAGTCGATGGTCTTTACACTCTTCGGTCTTCACATGTGGAGACCTTCACACGACAGCAGCCGCGACCGCTTCCGCGGTAAACTAAGCTTTTTTTTATTTTTTTTTATTCATTTAACAAAACTTAAATTGTATTCAGCTGGACACGCTTTCCTGTTTATCACAACAAATGACCAAGCAAAGCGCAGGACACTGACAAGGTGCACGATACAGTACGAGACCAACGTAATATTAGAATAAGCACCTCTTAGTTTCAAAATACTTACAGTATAAATGATTTGTAATTTTACAGGTTGTTACCCCATTATTCCCCAAACTTTGCATATTATCCCCTTATACCTACACGGATTTACTGAATAGGCACACTATAATTACAAAAAAGTTACACTGTAACTACAGTTTACTTACGCAGTTCTTTGCAGGTTGCATATCTGGTTGTTACCCCCTTATTACCCAAATGTAACACATTGTTCCCTTATACCTACACGTATGTTCTTTATAAGTACACTGTAATTACAGAAATGTACACCTTAAATTCAGTATACTTACATAGTTCTTTGCGGGTTGTAATCTAAAGCGTTACCAGATATTTTTATTGAATAATTATCAAATATCTAATAAGGAACTACCTTTGTCCTAAATTTGCTGCTACTTACTGCTTAGTTAATCTTGTTTCTCTATTAGTTAATAGTATTAAGTTAAGTGTTAATGTAGTACTACCTATTACTTCCTGCATAGTTACTTGTTAACAACGGACCATTATTCTAAAGTGTTACCATACATTCTTATACTAGATGAAGGTGTTTCCCTGTGCGGAACACGTCATACTAGCTTTACCTGCTTTAAAGGGTTTAAAGGCTAAGGACAATTATATCAAGAATTAAACATTAGAAAAACAAAGTAAAAATTCAGAATAGAGTCTGAAATAAATATAAATAAAAATGAAAATAAAATACTATTTAATCATCAAAGGACATTAAAAGCAATAGAAAAATATGTTTTGAGTAAAGATTAAAAATGTGTATAGGAGCAGATCTAAAGTAAACTGCTAAACTGTTCCTCAGTTTTGCTGTTAACCAGAGTTTAACAGCAAAGGCACGTTCTCTTTATTTTGTTTGGACTGTGGGAACAGTCTAAACCACACAGACAGGCAATTGACACAGGAGTGATATGAGTGTATTGTAGAATATTTGTTTTAGTGAACTTCTCTAAATCACATGCCACAGTTTTAACCCTTACTGTATTTGCAAGTGAGAACTCGACAGTTAAAAATAAATAAACAAAATGAAATAATTGTTTTAGATGTACCTTTAAACACCTCAAGAACATTTCAGCAAGTTTTCAAAGCAGAGTATGATTTTTACAAGAAATACATTGATTTATTTTTATTGTGTTTGTTTTCACATTTTGGGCAACAGTAGGTAAATTGCTTAATCACTTTAACAAATTACTGCTTAGTGACACCATATACAAGCTTACAGTAAAATCCTGATTATTTAAATGTAAAAGTAAACAGTTTTTGGTAAATAAAAAGGGGTATTTTCAATATAAGACAGCATATGAAACACAAATGTAACGTTGGTGATTTCAGAGACGAAGCAGTAAAGTAGGCTTCAAATGCAGCTTTATTCAAACAAATAATAATCCAAAAACAAGGAGCAGGAATGAGAACACCAGCAGACAAACACATGACCCAAAACAGAAAACAGACCAAAACCATAACGGTAAACAGCTAGTAGGTATATTTGCATATTAGTTCATGTTTGTTTCCACCTTGAGCAGTATCTGGACCTGCTGTTCAGCATTCATTCGGTCAGGGAGAACGTTTTTTCACACGCTTTGATGCTCAAAAGATTCAGCCGTTGTTTTTGGACTGTGATGTTCTTGTGGTGCTTTCAACCATCGTTCATTTTGACATAAATCTTCACTGAATTTAGATCTTCAGTCAAACTGTACAGACATTATTTAGACATTATACAGGATTTTTGAGATTTCAGAGAAAATAGTGTAAAGAGACATGAAAAGGAACACATTGTTGTGACTCATAGGGCCGTGGTGTTACATATAAATACACAAATAGTCTATATAAAATCAGTTAATCTAATTAAACATAAAAACATGCATTCTCTGATCACAGACTGTGCAAATGAAACATTCAGGACAAACAGTGCAAACGGAAATGGTGCAAGAGGACATGAGGACAAAATATACCAAATCAAATGAATTTAAAACGGGTTTAAATATGTACACAGAACAAATGCTATCAAAACTGAGTGTTTCTTGAGGAGTCTGTGTTTCGTAGGATCTGCAGCTTCAGCAACTGAGTGATGATGAAAAGGAGCTGCCGCTTTCTAGAAAGAGAAAACACACTGTCATCATACATCATAGTTCTACATCAGTTCTACAGTTTGAACTCTATTATTCTCTGCATGTAATCAGTATCTCACCTCATCTTTGAATGTCATCAGAGTGAATCTCTGCAGGTCTGTCTGAATCATGACAATCTGGAAATCACAAACATCTGATTATCTTCATGTAGTGGATAAATGTTAACATTTAGGATCAGTTTTACTAGTGGGGCACCAATTAAGACGTTTTCCAATATTTTAAGATTGAATGATTTCGGTTGCCAATATTTATTTTTAAATGGTCATGAAACCCTTCAGCTCAATACTTTTTTTTTTAAGCTCTTGAGTGTCCTTTGCCTCATTTTCACAATTTAATATGCTATTTACCTATTTATTTATTTAACTGACTAAAATTAAATAAAAATATAGTTATTCTGGTGTTACTATCGCAGGTCACTATAACATACTGGCAACCTGTACACAGCATGAGATCATATGCAACAATGATACACTCAAAACAATAAAGACAGGCTATTCATAAAGATATCCATTCAGACTGCTCCAGTGAGAAACAACGATCGGTGCACCCCTACATTTTACAAGTTTATCTTAAAGATCAGAAATACTTACAGTTTGGCCTCTCTCTACAGAAGCTGTTCTTTTTAATTAGTCTTTTGGTCTGTTTCTCTCCTGGTTCAGTAGATTGTCTCTCGTCCTGTTCGCTGGTCTTTTTGTGATTCCTGGAGTTTGTGACGCTCCACTGATGTTCTGCCATGTAGGCTTAATAATTTATATTGCAAAATTTAAAGTGAAATAGATTTATATTAGTTTTACTATTGCAAACATCTATGCAGTGTTAAAAAGCTTAATAAACAATCAAAGATAAAAGTCTTTTAATTACCAGTGATGATCTGGAAACAGTCCGTCTCCACTGTAGCTCTGAGATCGCTGGCGCTTTGTTGTGTCTGAAGTGCAATGAGTGCATTTAAGCTCCAGTTTCATAAGCAATGTGTTGCTCGCAAGCCGCACCTACCGCTGATATGTCCTCAGTCACACCAGTTGGTTATCACGCGGATGAGGCCTGGGCATGGATCCAGCTTTGTAAGCCTACAGGAAAGTGTGCGGATGTGGGCGAAATAGCAGCACAGTGAGCTTCATAACATTTTATTTATGTTCCACCCTAAAACGCATTTATAACAGTTACTGAATAGCAAGTTTATTTTGTCATTTCATGGGTTCCTATAGATTTAGTCACAAATTAATTGTACCTATCAAAATAATAAGATTTGTGATGACTACAGAAATTAGATTAAGTTGTTTCTTTAGGAAACAGTAAAAAGGAAAGAGTCGAAAAAGCATAAATGTAAGATAGCATGCAGTTCTGTTGTGCAAATGTTTGGTCATTTATCATATAATTTCAGAATTTCTTGAGAGAGCAGGAGTGGGTGTGGCTTGACACAGGAGGAATGGTTGGGGCTTGAGAGAGCAGGAGTGGGTGTGGCTTGACACAGGAGGAATGGTTGGGGCTTGAGAGAGCAGGAGTGGGTGTGGCTTGACACAGGAGGAATGGTTGGGGCTTGAGAGAGCAGGAGTGGGTGTGGCTTGACACAGGAGGAATGGTTGGGGCTTGAGAGAGCAGGAGTGGGTGTGGCTTGACACAGGAGGAATGGTTGGGGCTTGAGAGAGCAGGAGTGGGTGTGGCTTGACACAGGAGGAATGAGCTGGAGTGGGTGTGGCTTGACTCAGGAGGAATGGTTGGGGCTTGAGAGAGCAGGAGTGGGTGTGGCTTGACACAGGAGGAATGGTTGGGGCTTGAGAGAGCAGGAGTGGGTGTGGCTTGACACAGGAGGAATGGTTGAGGCTTGAAAGAGCAGGAGTGGGTGTGGCTTGACACAGGAGGAATGGTTGGGGCTATAGAATATAATATTGACAACTGAGCTTTTTGACCAAGATGTTTGTGAGCAACAACACAAGGACTTCTGATACCACTGATATCACATAAATAGCCTACATTTGAAAAATGAACTAAGGATTTTGAGCAATTTACAAGGTTTGATAATCTGAAGTGTAAATAAATGTAAAGATGAACGGCAATTTTGATATGGTCAAATGTGTTTGATTGACTTTCCTTGTAAATAATCAATGATTTGTTTTTGCAGTGTGAGACATCAGGAGGTTGTTCATGTTTTCTTCAGTTGGGGTGAAGCTACAGGTCAAAAAGTAAATCATTAACCTATATGAAATGTGAGAGATTTCTAGAGAACTATGATACATATATTATAAAATTATATTCTATAAATATTCAGTGACTCCACCAATCAAAGAACAACAAATGAGCCATTGAGCATGTAAATACACATGCCTATCAATACTTGAATATCCTTTTTCCTAGTCCAGTTATCAGGACGGATACTCAGAATGAATAACCCAGGATCCAGGGATAATGAGTTTGAGATGCTT